CAGGAGGGAAGAGCACAAGGGATGATGGTCATAGCTCATGGGTGAAATGGTGGTGGAAATTTTGTGGGGATACACATGAGAAAGCAAACTGTACAAAAATGAACAATGATATAAATATATATATGAATTAATAAAACTATTTCTACATTTTCTAGTTTTTAACAAAGGATTACCAAGGTTTAACAAATTAGTAAATACATCGCACATTTGATTCAGACATAGTTAGCCCTGCCTTCTGCTGGAGGCACTGTTAACGAACCAGAAATCAAGAAGCACCAGTGCTTATTCTAGACAAAATCCAGAGATATTCCTTCTATTTTCCTCCTTCATTTTCTTTGAGGGTATTCTGAAGTTGGGGAACCAAGGTCTCACTGGCTTCTCAGAGAAAACCAGCTGAATTTTTCAGGTTATAAAATTATGAGGCAAGATTCTGTGGGAGTCAGGAATCCCTTTCCCTTTGTCCTGTGTTTCACAAACCCATTCTTTCTTCTGTCTTCTCCAGTGACTGATTTTTCTTTTTGGCCTGGGAGTGAATGAATATGGCATGGGCTAAGTCAAATGGATGCTGGGACCAGGCTGAACTGTGGTTACTTTTCACCTTGTGAAAATACCCAGTCCCAGATAGTGAAGGTGGGATATTTCGTATGCTCATATACACTTCCATACATAACTCCAATTCATGACAAAGCAATTCAACAAAGCAACAACCTCCATTTGTCTTCTCTCTCAGATTCTTCTCCTTTTATTCTTCCCTTTTTTAACGTAATCCTTCTTCATCCTCAATTATTGTTTACTTCCAAGAATGCTGAGTCTACATGTCCTAGGACCTGAGCCACCAGAGAAAAGTGCAATCCCCTAGGAACATGCCGTCTCCCTCAGTGCCTCAGAGGCAGAGTTCAGCTACCAGCAATCTATCTGGTCAGACTGATGGAGCAGTCTGGACTGAGGCTGCTGTAGACAGACAGAGGACTACAGGGAGTAGAGTGTGAGAGCCAGCCAGACACAAAGAAGCAAACAGGCCTGTGAGGGAAGACTGGAAGATAGCAGGCCGCCGGACCCAGCAGCTCAAATGCTAGTCCAACCCTCATGGCAACCCCACTGGAATAGTCCCAGCCAGCTCAAGTGAGCCAAATCCTGAGCTCATTTTGATGGCTTTTGTCCCAAACCTGAGTCACTGGGGATTCCACATACTTCTAAGAGAACCCTAAATGCATTTCCAAAAACAAACTGCTTGATGCTGTCATGGAAAACCTGGATCTTTGCATTCTACAGTTTCACTGTGGATTACATCCAGGTCACAACCTACGGAAGACAGCTGGCACAGCAGACCCTGCTGGCGGAGTACCCAGCTTTTGTAATGAATCCCAGAGGGCTATGAACCGACCTGCATTTCTGGCTCTGTCAAGTCCAGGACAAGCCCTCACCTAGTGAAGACCAGTCAGACTGTGATTTATTCTACCAGGGGAGCCCGAGAAGTCACCTGCAATCAAGACTCAACTACTAGCCTCCAGAAAGGAGAGGAAAAGAGAAGTATGTTTAGGGAAAAAAGGAGAGCGAGACTTATGTTCTTTGTTTTCCTGTCCACACAACTGCTTATCTTCAGCTTAAAAAAAAAAAAAGAGCACTCTTCGAGGACACCCAAAGTGACCCTGGAGCCACCGGCCTATACTCTGTAGCCTTGACACAGGTAGGGACCAGGGAATGGCCTACATACTGTAGCTGTATTTTATTATTACTTTAAAGTAACCTTAGTTTTGAGATTGCTACTGAGGTAGCACATTCTTTCTCACGTCTAAAATCAGAACATCAAAGTGTCATTTGTCATAATGAAGGCTAAACAAATTTGTCTCCTCTTTAATCGTTAAAGTTAGGTGTAATAAAGAAATACACCTACAGCATTTTTGTAATTTTTCATCCAGTTATACTTCTAAAATGTCATTTATGCCAAAATAAAAGTTGTAAGAACAAACAGTCTGAGTGTTTTTCCAAAGAATCCTTTTGTTGCTCTGGCACTGGCCTTTTTTCTCACCATTTGTTTCAGTGCAGAATAGATCCAGAGTGGGGGGAGAGGTACAGCAAGAGAAAAGACTGATGTTCACAGCTGCAACCAGTCCTTGACTAAGGCTGAGGCTGACCAGATGCTACTCCAGATTGGCCAAGAGAAGAAAAAGCAGTCAGCTGCTTCAGACACTGGTGAGGCAATTTTCTCAGGCACAGATTGAGAGCTGCCATTTATGTGGCTTGAAAAGCCTGGTGCAGACCTCCATTAGAAGGAGCCTACTGAACACCCCTCATTGATGTGCCCTCCACCATCAGGAGGGGGCTGGCTGTCTAGCACTTAGTCCGTCTTTCCCATGATTTCAGCAGAGGAGTGCTGTTAAACTGGGAGGAGGAAATAAAAACCCATTTCTTCCTAGTGGTCCAGTGCTTATACTTAGATCAGTGGCCTCCAGAGAGGCAGTCTGTGAATACAGCAATCTCAGTCTCCTGCCATTTAAATTTTGAGTAACTTCATACTTTCTGAGATGCTGTACATATGCGTGGGGAACATAAGTGGGATAAAGTTAAGAATTCTTTTAGAAAGTCTAAACCTTTGAAAGACACAGAGGACTTAAAGACTAAGTGCAGGCATGCGGCTACGACCTTCTTTGCCCTCTTACCAGAGGCTGGACACAAACAGAAAGGTCAGGAATAACACATCAGAGAGAATAGTACTAGGAGGTATACATATCTTTGAGTCAAAATAAACACTCTAGCCATTTGAGAAACAGAAAACAAGCACCAAAATATATGTTAGACTAATCAACACTGAATTCACCTGGCTAACAACTTATCAAAAATTGCAAATAGTTTTCAAAACAGAGGGATATATGTATATTCTGCTTAAAAAGAAAGAAAAAAAATAAAAACCCTCCAAAGGACATACTGTGATTTCAGGACCCAAGATGTTTCAGCCCTTACTGTAAAGGATGACAATTTTCTCAGCATGGTAATCATTGCAGGGTCTCCTGCCTACCAACATATTAATAAAACCCATAATTAAGCCATGAAGTCATCAAAGATGGGCAAATACAACTGGATGAGGGGAAATAAAGCAGAACACTTCCCAGCAAGTTTTCCGACATACATGCATCTATGTGCATCTCCCTAAAGCACTGTGTGTCTGAGGTGAGTAAGGGCATTTCTCTGACAAGAAAAAGATGAATCAATATTAAAACCTATCTTAACACTTCTGGGAAGTGAAGTACAAGCTGAGAGAATAAACTTCAGATATCAGAAGCAAGCTAAGAAAGGAGACCATGATTCCAGTCTCCAAAATCTGAGATGTAAGAATTTAAGGTAAGAGTATATTTTCCTATCTACTTTTCAGAAGACAATGCCAAGGTTTTGAAAGGTACATTTATTTATCTCAAGTGAAAATTGCTAGTAACACAACTGAATATTAGAATCCTGTCCCTTCCCTTCCCAATCCCCCAAGTGCCGATCCAAGAGAGAAAGCCCTGCGGTGTATCAGGAGTCCATCCCCCTCGCAGACAGCAGAATGGTGGGGCAGGCCCACATCCTTTCTCTGGGCCTACTGTCCACTCCCACGACCCCTAAGACTGGAGAAGGCAGAGGAAACCATTTTTTTAAAAGTAGCATTGAGGACTATTCTTTGTTATTTCCAACATATTTGTACAATTGAACTTCTATTGTTCATTTTAATCAAATTTGGTAAACTTGTTAACTTTTTTCATTTTAATAGGTATTAACAAGTTACCTAAATCTTTTATTTTTTTCCACCTACAAACATTATCTCTTAGGGCAGAGAAAAAAGTGTTTGATCTGTAGTTTTGGAAGCTAGCCCTGCTGACTTTTAGAGTTTGTGCCAAGGTAGATAAGACTTACTTTACTTTTCACCTGTTTCTCTACAGCTCTAGACACTAGGCTCAGTACTTATCTTCACTGTTGAGGAGTCACATGTAAGAAACTTCAGAATATGCTGAGGGATGAGTCTCCTGAGTCCTACAGTTAGGGTGGCAGATGGATTACTACTTCCCATGTTAAATGTCCAGAATAATAAACACTTTCGTTATGTTTTTACATCCCCCCCCCCCGAAGATTAAGTAACTTTGAGTCTATTTCTCTACTTCCTTGAGGGAGTTCTTAAACTTAGCTGTCAATGTAAGTGTGGGCATATATGAGTATGTGTGAATTTCTACTGCCTTGAACAAGTCCCCTGAGTCAAGACAGACAGATACTCCTCTTGGTTCAAGATCCACCTTTCAAACCCTTGTGGTAGGCTATGCAAGTACTGTAGGTGGTAGATGTTTTCTTGTAGCTCACAGCCTCTCTCTGGAATCCCTGTAAAGCTCATACTTTGCTTTCTGCCTATTTTTAACCAGCTCATTGGTAAGAAAGTCCAAGAAAATGAAATAATTCGAATTAGTTTATATTTTCTGATCTGAGCACACTGAACATTCTGTCAGGCTCCAAGAGACAGACAATTTAAAACAGACATTATTTAATACAGAACAGCTGATTCTAATTCCTTCCTAGCTTGCCTCTTCCCCTCCCAAGCTGAAGTCACCCTGTGGTTGGGATGAGGCAGGACCAGGCTCCTGCCCCTGCAAGCTCCTGCCTTCCCTTACCACTGCAGTGAGCCCCTCTCACTGCCATTCCTCAGTGAGCAATGAGGAATGAGGTAGAGAGAAGCTTTTCATTTAACAGAAAAGCAAAACATAGTAGAACTCAAGCAAAGCCTGATAACTTAGAACCTGAGGAAATGAGTAATGATGGGAGGCATGTGAGACAGAGATCAGATGCTTCTTCTGGTGAAGGGAGAGTGAAACTAAGAAAAGGCAGCAATGAGGGCACACCACTTGCTCCTGGAGGAAATCTAAACAGACAGAAGGTGTCTTTTTCAAATGGGTGGTAAATGAGTCAACAATGAACGTGTGACCATGCAGAAGCCCTGGCCCCAGTGCTCCCAGACCCCTCCCCTCTCCCAGCACACCTACCTGCAATTCCTTGCAACAGCCCACAGACGTTGAAAATACTTTTCTTCATGATGCTTTGCACACACATAGTGAAGACGGACACCAGAGCCACCGTGCAGAGAATGAAGATTCCCGTGGCTAAGAAAATAGCTGTGGCCTGCCAGAAGCCACTGGCAATTTCACTGAAGCTCTCAGCATAGGGCCCACATAGCGTCTCCCGCTGGAAGTGTTGTACCCCAGGATTCCGGATGCAGCGGGCGTAGATGCCCAAGGTGGGATGGTAGTGCTCCAAGGGGCCCCTATTGTGGTCATCAGGCTCGGCATTGTTGCGAGGGTTGACTTTTCCAATTAGCCAGTCTGCGCTCATGAAGGCAATGAGCTCTGCAAAAGCCACCACAATACTCAGGAGGGTCCAGAGCATCGAGCGACAGGTGACAATGACATGACACATATTGATGTTCAAGGCAGAGAAAGAGTCAGGAGTCCGCGGGGTTAATAATAAGAAAGCCTGCAGGGAAGGAGGCTGGAGGCTCAGGCAGTTGCTGGCTCAGGCAGTCACTGGCTCAGAGGCAGGCTCAGTAGGCAGTGCCTGGTTTGAGCATTCACTCCCACAGCCTGGGACACCTTTCCACTGGCAGCTGGGCTATCCAGGGCTGTCATGCTGCCATGTCGAGCTCCTGAGCTGGGGCCAGCCTCACCTATAGGAGAGAAGGGAGGAGGCAATTAGCAGAGGCCTGACCCGCCCCTGAGCACCGCCCTCAAGGAAACTTCAGGTCTAAACAGAAGTGAGTCTCCTGCCCAGCAACTCCCTGCACAGCTGACCCTCCCAACCAACCCTCTTGTTCACACAACCGACCCTTCCTAACCCTTGTCACCACCCCAGCTCCGCAGAACCTCCCCTACAACAGCAAATCCTGGTTTCTGGCCAGCATGCCAGCTGTTTTCAGCACATTTACTGGTTTCTTTTAAGTTACCCCTCACACTCTCAGAATTGTTTGTGGTGGTTGCTGTTATCTCCAGGCAGCAAGACAGTAGAGAGAGGTCAATGACAGTTCCTGCATCTGCCATGGAGGCTCCTGTGCCATCATCTTTTATTAGAAGTCAAATAGCACAGGGATCTAGACAGATACAGATATGACTGGCAGTGAACCGTGTCAATGGACCGGCTGTATGTTTTAGTTTCTAGGATTCTCTGCTTGCTGTTTTGGTACTTCAATAAGTTTTCAGAGACTTGGAACAAAAAGTTTTGCTTAAAAATGGAAAATAGCAGCTTCCAAATTTGACCAGTCAAATTACTAAGCAGAGGCACAGAGTATTTGTTTCATAGGTGAGAACATTATGTGAGAACATAAAAGAGGACAGTATCATGAAAAGTGATTAATACATTGCTACCCAGACTTTTTTCATGCATTTCTCACTGCGTGAGTATTAGACAAAATAAATTATACTAATTTAAACTAAAAAAAAAAAAAATGAAAAGTTCCTGACTTACTCATTGGGGAAATTATTCAAAACAGAGGCATTAATGACCGCCGACTGAGTGTCATTACCACTGAGTAGACTTGCTGACAACAGAAACTCGCCCATGAAGAATGCATCCCTTGAACTACCCCAATTCATCACATATGCCCCTGCCTGAGCCCCAACTCACCCAGGTCTGGAACTCAACATGCCCATTGTTTCATATCTCACAAGGACTCATTCTGTTCCAAGGACAAATGGCTTCATTACCAGAGGGCTCTGCTCTAGCAGCTCAAACCTCCTTCAGAGGGGACTGAACCCTGAAACTGGGGTTGCAGTTGCTCATAGGCAGCCCCATTTTCTGCCCACTCTCCAAGGTCAGGAAAAATCAAACAGACATCTGGGCATAGGGCATGTACTGAATGATCAGATCTCATTAACCAAGGTCAAGTCAACTCCATGAGAAGTACAAAGAGCCCTTGGCATTCTGGTAGCAGGGTGGGGCAGGAGTTATGAGGAGGGAGGGAAGTGGGGAAATAAGGAAGCCCAGTGTTTCTCCACCGTTACTGTGGTAGCCTGCTGAGCTCTTAAACACATCACATTTAAAAATTCTCACATCACTCTAGTTATACAAGATGCTGTTTGTGGAAATCAGCTAGCCCAATACTAGGAACATAAGTACTTAATAATTGTTGGGGGTGGGGGGGGCTGTTTAATTGGGCTGTGTGGAGCATTGGCCAAGGGATAGGTGGTGTGTTCCACAGTAGGTATGGACGTCATCATGCCTGGATTCACCACTGTCTGGCCACAAGGCTGTTGAACTTCTAGGCTCAGCTTTGCCATCTACCACACAGACAGAATAAGGGTGTCCTCTCAATATTGTTGAGGAATAAGCAAGAACCTGTTAAATCGCCCCAGACAGTGCTCAGTATAATGAGTGCTTGACAAGTACCAACTCCTTTATCTCAGAGATTCTCCCTCACAAAGATGACACTGAGCACACAACAATTCAGCCTAAGGATTATGGTAAGTGAAGTTAGGAGAAAGACAAACACAGGATATGTGGAATATAGAGAAACAAAGCAATAGGTCACATAGAGCCAAACCAATAGCAAACCCCAGAAGTCTGACTGTGGAAGTGAGACTGCTTGAGGGAGAGCAAAGTATGGAGGGGACATGACAGACTCTAGTGCAGAACTATGGGTGGTGAGTGTGGTGGGGTGACATACATCTGAAGAGGTGTGATCCTATACTTGTAAGTCATATACAGCATGGTAAACTAGTGTTACTTCAATTAAAAAAATAATTAAAAAAATAGCAATGTGGGCCCTCCCTGGTGGCGCAGCGGGCTAAAGCACAGCACCAAGAAGCTAAAGTCACTTCCGCATGAGTTTGATCCCCGCCACGCCCGGAGGTGACCACATGGCGAGGCAGAGCTCTCCTGACCTGCCCACTACTCTCCTCAGCAGTGTACTTCCTAGATCTGCTCCCCGCTCTGTCTCTGGTGAATCCTCTCACCGCCCCTGCACCTCTGGCCTGTACCCCAGTTCTGTATGAATGAATAAATCTTAAGAAGAAGAAGAAGAAAAAAAAAAGCAATGTAACCAAACGAGGTGTGCAATAACACTGGCTACTTAGAGATGGTGCGGTCACTTGTCTCTATAAACTTCCTTGGTGGGCTTCAAGGGCAGGATCCTGGACTTAACTTCCCAGTTACCCACTGCTCAACTCAGTTACCAAACTAAACCATGGAAAATAAACTAACATTAGGTCAGAGGTAACACTCCCACTCATTCATTCTTACTCCCTCTCCTAAAGTTATCAAATTGAAATGTCCTTTCAGGAACATTTCAAAAGTGGAGGAGTTTAACATGAAAGCAGTCATCCCAAATGAATACAAGAAAACAAGCCCCCATGACTCTCCAGGCCCTGAGAAACTGCCCTCCTACAGGAGCACTGGCACTGTGAAGGGCCAGCCTGTTAGAAAACGGGGCTTTTGCAAAGTTCTCCCATTTGATTAGGAAGCCAAGTTATTGATATGTCCAGTCAATCTCAATCTCTGCCCCTCTTCTTTTTAATGGCAGTTTTTCATCAGACATAAAACCTCTGCTTGTCCTCTTATAGAGCCTCGGGACTTTGCTCTCTCCTCTCAGGTGACCTGGCGCCACTGTCCTGCTTAGTAAGCACTGCTCAGAGTCTCTGAAGTGCATTTAGAAGGAATTCCTGGAGAGAAAGGGTGTGAAACTTCAAGCTAAAGGAAAATGGCACATTCAGGCTTAGCCAACTAGTCAAGGCAGGAGTATTTCGAGCTCAGAAAATGTAGTTCCCTGTTCATTTGTGCTAAAACAATTCCCCTTGCCCATTGCACCAAATTCTCACACCCATGCTGGAGTGAGGCCATTATTCTCCTCTGTTTGGAACAGGGAGATAAGCCACACTCCAGCAAAATTGCTAATTACTAACAAGAGGAAGAACACTCATAAGCAAACACGGATGGACTAAAACTGGATTTCCAGAGGAGCCATGTGGAAGTGTAGCAAGGGGGTAGCTGTATGCGCTCTGTTAGGCAGGTGTCCTTGTTTGTCCACATCACATGTGCAGGAGAAGGGACCTGTTAAAACAACATCCACATCGACGGGGAAACAGACCTTTCTGACCGTTAACCACAGATTCAGGCACAGAGCCCCCCAGCACAGTCGTCCACTGCATTTACTTTCACACCTGCTTCTGCAAGCTCACTTAAGATAGCCAGGCCTGCGCTCACATCCCTCACAGGGTCTTTCCCAAGGGCCACTAAGCACATTTCTCCTCCAGGACACCTGGCCGGATCAGCACATCCCTGATGGCTGTAGAGCATGTGAACAGCTCTCTGACTTTCAGAACATGATGTGAGGGTTGTCACAAGATTTCCACAGGAAAGCCTCATAGGAAGTAATAACAGAACAGCAGCAACAAACAAACAAGTATCCTGGAGAAACCTACTGTCATACTATAGTCAGATCCAGAGCAAGGATGTGGTGGTGATGGGCTGGTGTGTGGGAGTCAGGCAAAGTCATGTTCTCTCAGAGTCCCAGTATTTAGAAGAAGGGGGAAGGGTCACACGTAGCTGAGTGTGGGGTTGGGAGTAGTCTCGCCCACCATGGGCCATCTTGGGCAGCTTCTGCAGTGACACAGAAACACCCAGCACAGCTGCAAAGTTGAGACACCCAGGAACAAGTTTACTTCAACCTAAATAGGTGGTAGCAAACTGAAAGGACTTCAATCAAAACTTCATCAAAAACCCACACTCCCCACCATTACAAAGCCCGTGAATGAGGTCATGACGAAGTGTGAAGAACATTACCTTGCCTCTCATCTTGAGTATGGTTTTCAGCAATAACATTAAATTTTAAAAACACAGATATAAGTTAAAAAGGATAATGAGGCCCTCCCTGGTGGCGCAGCGGGTTAAAGCACTGCACTAAGAAGCTGAAACCACTTCCACATGAGCTCGATTCCCGTCTGCCCCGGAGGTGACCACATGGCGTGGCAGACCTCTCCTGACCCGCCCGCTGCTCCCCTCAGCAGTGTACTTTGTCGATCTGCCTGTTCTGCTCCCCACTCTGTCTCTGGTGAAGCCTCTCACTGCCCCTGCAACTCTGGCTGTACCCCAGTTCTGTATGAATAAATAAATAAATCTTAAAAAAAAAAAAAAAAAAGGATAATGAACACCCAGGTCTAAAACTTGTTAACATTCTGTAGTATTTGTTGCCTGGATCCACGGGGTACGCTCTCACTCTGACAACTCAGAATGTTTGTTCTGAACCATTTGAAAAAGAGTCACAGGTGTCTTGACACTTCACCCCTAAATACTTTAGCACACACCTCCTAAAAAGAAGGACATTTTTCTACTTAGCCCACAATAAAATTCACACATCCACAAAAACTGACAATACTTCCTTTATATCCAAAGCTTAATCCATATTAAAATTTCCCTTCCCTGCCCCATTTTTATAGTTGTTTTCTTTAACCAGGACTGAATCAGGACTGATGGCTCATGCGCTGAGTTTCTTTCATTAAAAACAATCCTCCCATTTGTAACCTATCCTTCCCTGCCCACACCCCTTCTGCCCCATCTCAACATTGGCATTACTTTTGCAGAAGCTAGGTCAGTTGTCTTATAAGATACCTCAAAAGTTTGGGTCGGTCTTTGTGTCCTTTTGTTTCTGTGAAACAGAAGGGACTAAAGAACCAATTT